TTGATCCCTTCTCCTTTCCTATTTTATGTAGAGGAAAAGGTGGTATTATTGAATCCCAATTACATTTTAGTGAATTGTAAACAAGGTATAATAACTACACTCACATTTTTTGTGCGAAAAGTACTGGTAACTAGTAAACTAAATGTTCCTAATTGGATTTTTCGCTAGTGTAATTATAAGTTTGGTTTTTGAAGGCTTTTGTACAAAAAGTCCGAAAGTAGGCTTAGAGAAAATCGGGTGGTAATATGGAACCTTACTGTATATTTTCAAAAAAATGCTTTAATGTAGCCAAAAACAAATAGGAAAAGACAAAAAATGTTAAATAAATTACAAAATTATTTACTCCAATGTATTTTATCGCAAAAATGCTTTTATAATAGAAAAATATGACCTCCATCAACAATATATATTCCAGCAGCTCTTTTTCGATATTTTCAGACTTTCTACCTAGTGTCTTTTTCCCAAATTGCTCCGGACGAATGTCTGATTGCAAAGAGAGAGTTCGGAGGAGTTGAGTTCCATATTACTGTAAAAGCACCAAAGGGGTCCGTATTTCACGCATCGCCATCTCGAATTAACTTATGTCTGTCGAGACCAAAATTTAAAAAACGTGAACATCACACAGATTAATATGTACCTCTAAGTGTCTGGAACGGAATACATGCACCAGTGAACCTACAACTTTCTCGATTTATATTTTAAAAATAATTAAATTCACTTAGCATTCAAAACTTGTGAATTTTGAAAAAAACAAATTTGCTGATTAAATACGGACAACCGTTTAACTGAAGTAAAACGGGTTTTTCCCTCGCTATGGATGTCTGCCTAGTTCAGTTCAGCCACATTCTGCTGCAGTTCGCCTTTATTATCAGTTCGAAATGTGGTGGTTCCATAATACCCGCAGCGTTCCATAATATCACCTTCTCCTCTAATATTTTGCCATGATTTTATAGTAAGATTTTAACCGAAAAAAATAATTTTATGAAACCCTAAAAACCTTAAATCCAACATATACAATTATTAATTAGTAATTTAATATGTAGTATTATTTATATAAGACTTTATGTGAACAAATTTAAAAATATAAAAATTTAATGAATTCGAATAAACAGTTTATTTTAAGAACTTTATTACTTTAATTATTAACAATATTATTATTATTATTAATCAGCATCATACTACTTATTTTTATATTAATTTTAACTTTTACAAAAAACGCAAAAAACTTTGCCAGATGCACGTGTAAACAGAAACGTCATACAAAATAAAACATTAGAGAATAGATAGAAACCATATTCTGTTGCCATATTGATTACATTTTGGCTAAGGCCAAGAAAGTAAGCTACATGCTGCTAAAATATACTAGGTGCACCTGGGGACTAAATAATAAAGTTTATAAAACTCTATATACTGGGGCAATGTTTCAAAGTGCTGGAAAACTGTTTTTACTAATGTATCTCTGATATTAGCGTAGCTGCTTCTTTTGCCACTATGTATTGTAGAAAAGACTCTAAACTACTGCATCAGAACTACAAATGTCAAGGCTCAACAACGTTCTCTACTCCTATCTACGGCTATTCATATGCTACCACTTTGCAATTACTCTACTATCTCTGATCATCATCCTGTAAACAAGGTTATTTAGTGTCATCCGCTTCCTCTATGGATCTTTTTTTAAACTGATATATTTTGCCAAAAATATGTTAGTAGGTACAGATACCTCCCACATACTTCCATCTATCAAGCTGAAGATGATGCTGACTACCAAGCTGTTCAGTGGGCCACTTCACTACCAATCAAAACTCTATCAACATTTACAGTGATTCTCAGTCTGTCCTAAAAGCTCTATTAAATTCCAATTGCAATAGCAATAAAATCGCATATATCCAGCACCATATTAAAAATCATGTAAATAAGTTAACTTCTATATTTGTTCCTGGCCATACTGGCATACTAGGAAACGATAAAGCTAACTTTGAGGCTAAGTCAGCTGCAAAGGACACTGATTTAAACTACACTCGCATCCCTCTCTTACATATTAGCCTTAAATATTATATTCAAGACAACGCTATACAAAAGTGAATTGAGTAAAAGTAGTTGAGCAGTAAAACTAGTAGAATAACAAGACTTTATTTTCCTAGTGTTGAATGTAGGGTCTCATTTCCACTTAGATATTTTATGTTTGCCACTGCTAAACTACCTACTGAGCACGGTAATTTTAGAAGCTACCTGGCAATGTATAACCGGGCTGTAACTACTTTTTGCTTTTGCTGTACAGAAAACCTAGACACCGTCAAACATATGATCTATCATTGTCCAATTTACGATCAAGATGGACTTATTCTGAAATTAGAAAATTTTACGCTTGATTTCAGATGACCATGGCCACTCGATAAGCTTGTTCAGAAACTGCTGTTTAATGTTTTTACAATTATGTTTAAAAGATATGAAAGAAAAAACTATTTATAATTTCTAATTTCTAGTTTTACATTTTAGTTTTTACTAAAAGCCGAATACTAATGTAAATACTTTATTTAAGTTCGAGAAGGAAATATCGTCAACTGTATGAAGTTCCTTTGTCTCGTCCTACTATATTCGAGGTCTTGCACGTGGTCCGTTCTCTCTGACTTTCCAGAAGCTTCTGTCCTTATTTTCTATTGTTCCACGTCACTCCTTTTGTTTCAACCGCCTCCGGCTTTGGAGGGCCAACCACACCTTTACATCCCCCCGCTTTGTAGATCTAAGATTGGGTTGTTGTATAAACGTAACTTGGATATATAGACGGCGTCTGACGGTTTTCCCTTTTTCTCCCACTCTATTTCATATAGTACATTAGATACTTGTCTGATTACTTTTCGTAGATTTAATTTTTCCTTTGTAGATCGATTCTTGACAGGTCTTCGTGTTGTAGAACTAACCACTCTATCCATTTTTGAGGTTCTAGATTTGTCTTGTGGTTTCTTTCGTAATTTCAAACGGTGGAAAATGTAAACGGATAATCTTGTTGTTATTCCCATAATTGTCACCAGACCGATGAAGATTCCTATTAAAATGCCCGTTGTTAGAAGAATAGAGGTCGATTTATTTAAACATTTGCTGCTATTTGTCAAACAGATAAAATTTGTTGAATTATCTTGAAGGACATTCAGATCTGAATTGGACAATTCATCTGGTAATGTCTCTCTTAACGTTTCTTGCACTTTTCGATTTCTGTCCCTCAACCCATTTAAATCTTCAATATTATTCATTTCTGTTCTTTTTTCGTATTGAGAACTATTTTTATTTGTATCGTTATTGTTTCTTTCATAAATACTTTTAGGGAATTGGCCATTTCGTGTTGTGTCCTCGATTTTGATTTCATTTTCCTGAATACTTTTTTCCTTTGTCCCTTTTATTTTATGATTTGTTTTTTTTTAGATTTGTCTCCACTTTTTTACTTTCGTTTCGTATTTCGTTGTTTTCGACCTCAGCGAGATTTACTTTCCGCTTTCGTTCAGGCGGTTTTTGCTTGTTCCAACAGTCTCGAGCCCAATGGAATCTATTTTGATATCCCAAACTCTCACAAATCTTACAAGCGTTTGGTTTCCTTTTGTGTTCCGAATTAAATTCTTCCGTCCCATAACCAAAATTACTCCTTGTGGACTTATTCATTCGTTTTTGTTTTAAATTTTCTTCGATTCTTAGGCTTATTTAATAAAATTCTACAAAAATTTTTGGTCTTACGGTTATGAAGTATTCCGCCATTTCTCTGGGTAAACCTTCCATTATTAGTGGTATTATCTGGAAGTCTTTCAACTGCGCTAACTTCCCTAAACTTTTTTTTTCTCGAAATAGTTTTTTATTCCTATTTTTGGGTCATATTTCAACCTTACAAAATCCACGATGGGCTCGGTGGCTTGTACTCCAAATCTTCCCACGAAAGTTTGTTTTAGCTCTCCCCAACTCTGATCGTCCGCGTGTTCGACGTACCAATTTAGGGCTTCGTCTTCTAAATAGTCTCCCATTAATATTATTTTGTCCTTTTCGCTCCATTCCATGTACTCCGCCACCGTTTCAAATCTCCTCACCCAATTCTCTGCTTTAATCTTGTCGTTATTACCCCGAAATATTTGAACTTTTGGCTTACTTTTCGGTGATTCTTTATCTTTTTCTCTCCTATCCGTTCGTTCGGTGTCGTCTCCGTAATCGGTAATCCTTTTCTTCGGTCTCATCCTGTCGACTTGTAAATATTTTATGTAAGTTCGAGGAGGAAATGTCTTTAACTATATGAAGTTCCTTTGTCTCGTCCTACTATATTCGAGGTCTTTCACGTGGTCCGTTCTTTCTGACTTCCCAGAAGCTTCTGACCTTATTTTCTATTGTTCCACGTCACTCCTTTTGTTTCAAGCGCCTCCGGCTTTGGAGGGCCAATCACACCTTTACATATATTTTTAATTATTTAATTGCTCCGTCCTCTTTTCTTTGGCATGTTGTNCTAAGCATGCATTTATTTTATTTTTTGCATTTTAATATTTATTATTCTATCACATTACACGAGATGGCGTTAGTACAACGAGCGCTCTTAACAGAAACCGCCCAATTAAAGCCAAATTCAAAACTCCATCACTCAACGAGATCAAAAAATAAAAATAAGAATATTACGTAAGACGAGATCTATTATCCTTCTACCCCTGAGTAAGAAATCGTAAGAAATCCTTTACCCCCACCCACCCCAAAATACCTTACGTAATTTATGGACGGCCCCTAACCAGCCGTGAATATTAGCAGCTACTAGATTACCTGAAAGTGCTTTGTGGAATTAAGATAATTATTATAACAATTGATTAAAGTTTTATTAATGGAATTAATGAAATATCGAAAGGGCAATATTAGTGTAAATAGCCTCTTAAGAGTTACGTTACCTCTTACTACAATGCAGAAATTTTAAATGAGTCTAAAAATAAGCAATTGTTTAAAAATTATCAGTTGTCTATTGATATCAAATATATTTCATCTTTCAGATTGGCCCTGCAATAAACCATTTAAATTTCAAAGGTATATCTGGAAATAGAAAAATCGTATATGCCTGTATACCGGAAGGACCGTTTCGACAAAGAATAATACAGCATTATTACTTTCCTTCTCGATTTACAGCCATATTTGATTATATTTTCTTCTTTGCAGAATATTGTATGGTGAGATTGTGTCATTCTAATTCTAATTAACTAAAATTTGATAATTTACGCAAAAGTACTTATATTATTATTGGAAATATTTATTTTAATAGGTTGAGCGGGACATTCGTATATGGAATTACAAAATGCATTTGAAGAATCCAGTTTACCTGTCAGAGGATAAGACAATTGTGAAATACAGAAAATGGTATTCCCAGTTTTACAGCGAAAACAGCCCGAGGGTTGAAGAACAAAGTCTTAATTGGTGATTGGAAGTTATTTTATACTTTATAAAGCTTCTGACCGAAATTACATATATTTGTTAAACTTCAATTTTTATAATCGATTTTGAATTGTAGTTCGTGTTACAGACTTAAATATTCATGCATTACCATAAAATTACTATTAAAAAGTGAGTTATTACATGAAATTTTTTTTTTTGTATTTTAATATTAAAACTTTGTGAATGGACACTGCTTGCTGCGAAGAGTGTTAGTGAACATTTTTGTGAGCTTTTTACAATTTTTAAATTATGGCAAATATTGAAATTTGGATAACGGTGTTTGAGTTGTTGTTAATATCAATTGGGATAAAATTAAATTCTGCTGCTGTTGATCGTACTCCGCCGCATTCACAGATTCAATTTCGGCAACTACTATAAAACGACTTAGTTCTCCGAGTGAACCTTCCTTCAAGTCGGCTAGAGTATAGGATTTTTTTTTCAAAGTTAGCCTTAAGCAAGTATATTTCTATGGATATTACTTTATATTTGGACGACCGATTTGATAAGCTTTTTTCGACTCTAAACGAGATTGTTACGAGAATTGACTGGTTGGTTAATATACAGAATAAACACGAACAACGATTAACCCAATTGGAGGCTAAATTAGAAAAACATTTGCAAGCTTATAGATGACACGCAGCGGAAAAGTACAATAGTTTGACCTTGCATTCTATAGACAAAGTGTTTAATGAAATGAAACAAAAAAAGATGTTAAAAGTTCGACTGATGACTGTCTCGATTTGAATATGAAAGAGCAAAATTTGTTTTCTAAACTGATAGTTGAATCAAAAACGATTCCAACGGTTAAGATAGTATGTAATACTTATATTTGGTGACAGTACGTTCGTAATTCTAAATGAATTGTCGTAGAAATTAAGCAATTTTCCGTTCTGCTAGATCCAGGTCAAATCTATATTCTTATAAAACTCGAAGTATGCTTAATTTTCTGGCTGTTATAACAAATGAAAAATATTGCGATCTGACAAAAATGAACTCTTAAAGTTTTTACATTTTTGGACGAAAAACAACGAAAAATTCAGGAAAAAAAACATGCGGTTTGTTGTCTGTATGTATAAATGTCAGTTTGTGTTTGTGTGTGTGGGAGGGGGTCACGATATTTTCACCCTGAAACTAGGCAGAGAAATTTAGTTATTCAGAGTATTGACAATACAATATTTTCTTAGCTAAATTAGGATTTTCCGCGTAACTAGCATTCTCAGTTTTTTATGATTCCTATTCAAATTCTTAAAATTCAGAAAGACGCCATTTTATAACAATTAAAATTTTAAAAGGTTATTAATTAAATAGTATATCATAATATATAGAACTACACACGCAGTTTAGAATTATACCAAAAAAGTGAAGCAACTCGGAATTAATTTTTTTATTTTCCAGTTGGAAATATTAAATTTTCACAAACGTAGAAGTAATGTAATTATTTTATTGGCTTAACTCTTTCGCTACATTTGTTTCGCTTCAACTGTAACTAATAAAATCCAAAAAAGTTAATTTTATATATTAAATAATTATTTCCGCTCAAACGCAAATCTGACATCCAAAAAAATTGCCGGGAAATAATTCCCGCGAAATAAAAACTCTTCCGGAAAGTGTTTTTACAAAGAAACGATATAAAAAATAAAAATAATTCAAAATAAATGCTTTTATTTGAAAAATATAGCTTCAAGGATTGTTATTCTTTCGTTTAACAAGGCATGAAATTTCACACCTGCAGTCTACATCCTTTACAAACTGGTTGACTTTGAGAACAGCTGGAGTCCGCTTTCCCGGGTAGTTGTCATGTATGCTTCAGGAGAACATTTGTCTAAAGCAGGAGAGGAGCTAACTTACCGCATCTGCTCAAATATAACACAATACTCACGATTTTTATGCTATTAAATTACGAGGAGACCGAAAAGAAAGTATGGGAAAAAATTCTACTGAACAAAAAACAAAAGAAACCTGCTGATGTCATAAACAACATCCAATAGCGTTTTAAAAAAATTTACGGACTTCAAATCAGTGAAATAGAAGTTTAGAACGATTTATTTAATTTGACCAAAAAAACTCCTATAAAAACAATAGCGCAATTTATTACCTAATTAATAAATCAGCATAAAATATTTTCGCCGCAAAAATAATTAATTAATGTCTGCAGTACAGATAAAAAATTTAAAATATATATTTCTATTATCGATAATAAAACCATATACATTCGAACCTTCGATTAATGCCATCTGTAATCAGCAGTTATTAAACATTTTTTTGAAGAAAATGCATACAATTAAACATTAAGTAAGCAGTTAAGTCCAAACAACCTCCATAATGTACGTCTTCTGTCGTCTTTTATTTTAAACACGAGCTACTTATGGTACTCCGTGGTAAGTTGTATGCTGCGATGTGACGTAGTAATAATATACATTTGTTTATACTCGGGGAATAATGCCTTCTGGGAAGTCTTATAAGAGTAATTGCCCTTTATTCAAGCGTTACAAATGTAGAGAAAATTCGAGATAACTTCACGTGACTAGCCGATCCTGGCAAAGAGCGAATCCACGACCTAACTCTACGTCCTGAACGAGATATAAAAATAAAAAACTTTTGATATTACACTTGTATGATAATTATTCGAGTTATTAGCATTGAAACTTTTTCATAAACATTATCCCTACTCTCAAAATTAATGTAGAGACCATGCAATAATAGTTAAAAATGTAAAAAGTTTTTTTCATACAATATAATAAGAGATAACTTTACACACTTAGTTCCAAAAATGACGAAAAGGTTAATTAAGGAACTCGCTGATGGATTTTTTTATTTTTTAGTTGAGAATATTAAATTAAAACTTCAAAAACGTAGCTATGATATAATTATTTTATTGACTTAATGTCTAGAGTACATATGAAAAATTTAACATATATATTTTTAATATCGATATTAGAAGCATATACAATCGAACCTGAAAATAATATCCATTTCTAATAAGAGGCCATTAAAATTTTTCTTGAAAAAAAACGTCTACAATTAACTTTTAAGTAAGGAGTTTACTCCATAAAACAGCTATGTCTTTACTTGTCTTTTATGTTAGGCAAACGCTTTTAGGCTATGGTGCTCTATGGTAAGTTGTGACATGCGTTTCCGATGTGACGTAGTTTTTAGCCACTAGTCGGCCATGTTGTACGTTGCTGTCAATGGCCGTAGTTCACTGTATTCGCAATTAAGAATATTATAGTATATCTAATATTAAATACACATTAATAAGCAAAAAATGAAACAGACATTTTTGTTTGGAGTTAGTTGCAAATACATAGGCTTGATACATTTGTCAATAAATATTTGTGCTTATATAAATTTTTCAATAATTATTGTAATATCTGTTAAAAAATATTTTTGAAGTCATGCTTATAAATTACTATAAAAATTGCTGTGTTACACGTCAAATTAATATAAGTTTACATTGGTGTTTCAATAAATTTGATAATGGTACAATACAGGATGTTCATTCTTTTTCCTTTACAACCATCTTACTCGTATCAGGAAGTGCAAGAAATAAAATGTTAAATAACATGTTATAAATTAATACTTCTGTAGCATATTTTACATGTTTTTATTTTTTTTATTGTAGCGTATAATCTGCAGAAATAAGTGATATTTTTTGAAATTTAATACACGCACACTAATCCGGAATATTCTCTATTTTAATGTTATCTATTACGCGTTATCGTTTTCTTGGAAAATGCAACTGATGTACTCTGTGTTACAGTTTATTAGGATTTCGGTTTTTTTGTATAGCATTTTTTTCGGTGTACCATTTTTTCGTTGACACCAAAATGCAAATAAGCTTCTTCAAATAAAATAAGGTAATAAATAAAAGTTCCTAAACTGAAATCACACGATAGATGGCGTGCCATATCATTTTTGCTGATATTTCACTATAGACAGGCCTGCCCTAAGTTTGTCAACTCACGTGCATACTAAAGGGCAAGAGATCGAGTCACTCATTATCTTTAGGTAAACTTCACACATATTCACTTTCCGTTATCCTGCATGTTCGAAAATATGGTATTTATCTGCTTTAGTGTCAAATCATAGATATTTCATTGTACATGTCTTCGTTTGCGTTTTGCAGTAATAATTTCTTCAGCAATTCCACTACTACATTATTATTATATTACATTTTCCTAGTTATATTGGAGAAACTGACTTCAATAATATAATACAGTCATAAGTTATCGGCTACCGTATTCAAATTTTTAATATTTAAACATATATCTATATAGAATTATACAATGAATATGTAGAGTGTCTATAAAACACCCTGCATAGTCCTGTTTTAAATAATGTGTTGCGTTACCTGTAGATATATTGGAGTGCATCAGATTACAACTGAAATAGAGTCACTCGGTTTTTATTCTAGATTTCTCTTCAGCAATGTAAATGCAAGCAGTATAACAAAAATAGTTTCATAGCATGACTCTCGGAATCCCTGATTTAAACTGATGTGATTATTTAAACGACATAAATTTTAGATTACTTCTTTCACGGTACTTTCTCGAATCGCGATTGAGAATTGAAAAGACCATTACCGTGTAAATCTTATGTTATTCAAATTGTGGTAGTAGTTTTAATTTCACGTGGTTATTTGATGGATCAAAAAGAAATCAAGTTCGATCTCTGTAATGTCAACATTCGAAAAACAAAACCTGAAGAAGTCGCAGATTATGACAGTTATATAACATAGGTTAATTACAATCGTGTTTGAATGTTCACTATGAAACAACGTTCTTTAATACATTTATATATATTTTTCATGTTTTAGTTTAACGTTTAGCATCAACTTGAAACTCTTTTAGTTTTTGTTCAATAATTTACATGCAAACAAATGAAAAACTTAACGGTCAATAGTTAAAAGTTTGGTCGATCACATTTTATGAGTACAGTATTGTTGTTCAAAACAGTAGAATAAAATAAAGCAGTTTATAAGAACAAAAAACTGCTAAAACGAAAACAGCATTATTAACATAATTTACAAACATAATTAAAAATTAATTAACAATATTTAATGGCCTCACTTTGTATTTTCTGCTTGTAATCTTTTTTGTCTTGTTTACAAAAATTTCTATAAGAAATACGACA